ATCAATATTTGAATGAATTATTTCAAGGAAACTATAGTATTGCATCTGTTTGCTTGTATTTATATTTTTATTGCTATTACGATTGTTGTTGATGATTATTTTATTGCGGCACTGGACAAACTTTGTGCGGTATGTATTTTAGTGCATATGTTGATTTCTAATGAATAAACAAATAGGTTATGAAAAAGTAATTTTAACGAAATCTTCGTTCATTTTTTAGCTTCTTAAAGCAGCTTATAGACAGTAAAATATCCCTCTACTTTTATATAATAAACAACTTGTCACTACGACGTCTAGTGGGACCAAAGTGTGGAACTCACGATCTTTGGCTATTATAAATTTTTGCTGTATTGTCAGAGCTTTTAAAATAATATATTTTTAAAAGATTTCAAATGAACGAATAATTCGAAATCATAATAGTTTTTATTGTTGATAGGCGCGCTCTGGAATTTTATCATTTCGAAAATGTTCACATTTATAATTACTTTTCTCCCAATTTATTTGATTCATTTAATATCTCTATAATGTAAAAAATAATTTAATTAAGTACCAAATACATACATCTTCAATCTGTAGCTTCTGTTCTCGTAATGATAACATATCTACAATCGTAGCTTCTTAAGAGAACTTCCATGAGCTGATCGAGCATCGCTCCAATATTCGAGGCACTCGATAAAATTTTTTTTCGATTTTTTTGCTCATTCAAAACTTTAACGTCTAAAATTACTAACCCTAAAATTTTAGGTTCTAATACCCTTCCTATGAAAAGTTAGCCAAGACCAACTTTTGGCACTATCGGGCCTTTCTGTGGAAAAATAGGGAAAAATATTCTGTAAAAGATGTGCTAGCGTGCGTTTCAGCAAATCATTGAAATTTTTTGTGGTATACATAGGAAGATAGAGAATTGAAAGCTGAATAAAATGAGCTAGATTGATATAATATAATGGCTAATAATTTAAGTTTTATAGAGCAAATATGAGTCAAGGGGTAGTATTTTTGAACAGTCCAAATAAACAGTATAATTCGTGTTGTGCTTCAGGATTAAGAGAGCCCAGGGTGAATTTTATATATGTTGTGCAGCTTTTTATTTTCTACAAAATGGTAAAAAAATATTTGAAAAAAAAGTTTCTGCTTGATGCGAAAAATGGATTATACTGTCTAATTTTTCATGGTTTTTGATGATTTTTTAAAGAAAAATAAACATTTTTAGGGTTTTCTTTTGTTATAGAATACTGCTAGAAGAAAACAAATATGATATTCGGAATCAGCGTGAAAAACTGCATCCAATCATATATGTTTCGCCGAAAAGTTTTTCCTGACCAAAATTGACCTGTGGGTGTGGCTGTCGGTGTGGGTGTGGTGGGTATGGGTGTGGGGAATGCTATGTTGTTCGTCGAACGACACTTTAGTCGACAGGCTTTTTGTCGAAGTAACTTCGTCGAAAAATTTTTGTCGAATTTTTTTGGTGGAAAAGCATTTCGTCGAAATATTTTTGTAGAAAAGCATTTTGTTGAAAGTACATTTCGTCGAAAAAAAATTCGTCGACAAGACATTTTGTCAAAATTTTTTTTGTAGAAAAGCATTTCGTCGACAAGACATTTTGTCGAATTTTTTTTGTAGAAAAACATTTCGTCAAAAGTGAATTATTTTCTTCTTATTATTTGTTTCGCCGTCAGGAGACAAGTTCAAAAGTATCTCCTAATTAACTTTGTTCCTTTGGCGATGATGGAAGAATTTCAGGACACTATTGAGTAGAATTACATGCTTTTCGTCGAAGAGCACTTCAAGGAAAGGTTCTCAGCCCCTCAAGACAACTTCGAATTCTTCAATTCTTCTACAGAACTTTTCAGAGTTAAGAGGACCATGAATTTTCTCTCACACTCACGTTTGTAGTGCCTTTGCCCTCGCCCTTGCCTTCACCCTCACATTTGAGTACGTTACATGGCCCTTACTCTCATTCTCACCCTCAAGCTCACCTCACTTTTACATTGGGAGTGCTCTCCATAGCCAAGAAAATACTTTCGACGAAAAGCAGATTTCTATCTGAGTTTATTGATGAAATGTTTTGTCGGTGAAGTGTCATGTCGACGAAGTGTCGTGTCGACGATAATTTTTCGACCAACAACATGATTACCGGTGTGGGTGTGGATGTAGATGTGGATGCGGGTGTGGGCTTAATCAATGGTCATCCACACTCACACCCAGGGACCGCGCGAAGGATATAAGATTGGGGGGGGGATGTAAAAGGGTATTTAGAGCAAAATTTCTTTAAAAAAACACAAAATTCATTCCAAATCTGCTCCCGTCGCTGAAAAAAAACAAAAATTTCCAATTATTGAGGGGGGGGAGTGTACACCTCCCCACCCGCGCGGCTCCTGCCCACACCCACACCCACACCCTTTATATCCATAAAGGCATTCCTAGAGAGACCATTTGTTAAGTATCACTGTTGACCTCAACAAAAAAAAATGTACTTTTTTACAAATAGGAAAAAAAGATATACAGAGTGGCGCAAAAGTCACTTTGCCTATAAAAGGAATTGAATATCTCCACTACGACTCGAGCGAATGAGTTGATTTTTTTTTCAATGATAGAGGTACGTTCAAGCTTTATATTCATAAAGACATGCCTAGAGAGACCCTTTGTTAACTACATTGTTTTTTTCCTATCTGCGAAAAAGTAACATTTTTTTGTTGAGATCAATAGTGATACTTAACAAATGGTCTCTCTAGGCATGTCTTTATGGATATAAACTTTGAACGTGCTTCTTGAATTGATAAAAAAATCAGCTCGTTTGCTTGAGCCGTAAGGGAGATATTCAAACTTTTTTTTGGTAGGTGACTTTTCAGGCACTCGATATTTCATTTTTTTTTATTAGATTGAATTAGTTGATGAACTATTATTTCAATAGAAGAAAGACAGTGCACATGAACAAATAAGTCGTTTCTAAAAACTTTTCCAAGTGAATGTTTAGGACGAGGGGTTGTCGAAAAATGCGATATCTTATGGGACACTCTTCAGGGATGATCCCAAATTCAAAAGATGAAATTTATTGAGATTATTCTAGAATTTTAATAATACTTAATTTGAAGTTTTCTTCAATATATGACTTATGTGGATAGTTTTAATGAAATTAGTAAGTACACTATATTTTAAAAACTGACTGAATATAAACATCCAAGCAGAGAAGAATTCCTGAAATAGTGTTTAAATACTTTTATCTCAGTCCTCCTTTGAGCGTCTTTACGTCCATTCAGAAAACTCCAAGACCAGCTACTTTCATCATAAAATATGCGTAGAGACATTTAAAAAAGTCAGTTTTGCATCTGCAAAAGATACAAAAATATTTTCCACAATGTTTTGATATGTTTTACAGGCACAAATGACTTTGTGATCAGTGATGTGTGACAAAGATGTTGTGAAGAAATGGTTTGGACGTTTTTCAGATGCAAAAACTGCTTCCTTAAACGTCTTTAGATATGTATGATGAAAACAGCTACGTAGTTTTTGTATTTTCTGAATGAACGTGAAAACGTTCATGTAGAAACCGTGATTAGAGCGTTTAAACACATTTTCAAAAATTCTTGTCGGTTTTGGCATGGATAATTTTCGAACAATTCAAACAACGTTTATTATATGTTCGAAAAGTTGATTATAGTTTCATTTAATATGTTGATATTGATTAGAATACAAATAGATTTTTAATAGCTACTGAATTTATTTGATTCGTCAATGATTTACATAAAAAGAAGATTCAAATAGATTTATGAAACTGCTATCGTGATAGATCTGCATATTATTTTGAGTAAGTTAGACTTATTCAGTTCTATATAAAATTAAATATGAAGCTCTAATTTATTTTAATGACTGCCTTTGAATTTTTGGTAATACTCTCTCTCTCTCTCTATATATATATATAAATAGAATTTAAGTGGATATTTTTATGAAATTAATAAATACATCACGTAGATAATTTGATTTTTTCAATTTCAGATATAGCGTTTTGAGAAAATCAATTTTCTTATAGAATCAGAATAATGATGAATAATCCATCAAATGAAGTCAAAATATCTCCGTCTTCGAAAACTATGATATCGGCTGCATGTTCATATTTAATTCGTGGTATTCGAGAATTAAATTTATACTCTAATAATCCACTTTGGACATCAACATTAACTCGTACTGAACAAATTCATAGTACTCGACTTTTTTTAATATTAACTTCAATATCACTTTTATCCGTTATTGGTTATGTTAGTTTATCTGTTCACACATATGAAGTAACTCGAAATAAATTTTCCATATCTGATTTCGAACGACTTCAAGCACGTTATCCA